TGCTGTGGTGGATACCCTTTGCAACCCTGTTTATTTCAACGGGGCTGCTAAGGGAGGAATGCCACAGCAGCCTCTGGCTCTGTTAGAGTAGCAGGTGCCATGTTCCTGCAGGTGTGGTGTTCTAACAGGAACAAAGAGAAACACAGTTGTCGATCTCCCTAGTATCTATGTAGGTGAGAAATGCAGCCCCCCCCCCACCCATCTGTTTGTTTGTTTCGTTCAGTTCAATTACATTTTGTCTTTTAGACTGTATTCATAAATGGAATTTGGGTGTAAAACAGTCGGGCCTGATTCTGATCTCACCTACCCGGTATAAATCAGGAGTATCTCCACTGAAGTCAGTGAAAATACTCAGGGTTTAAACTTGTGGAAGATAAGAAGCAAGCCCATGGGATCGGTCAGTCCTGCCCTGTCTACCTGGTATGGGTTTACACAGCAATGTGTGAACCCAAGATTTGGGGTGAAAGTAGGAGATTTCTGCACCTCATTTTATCAGCCAAGAATGAAAGACGAAAGGTCAGATTCTGATACCCATGATCACATGGTGGATCTCCTTAATGCATGAGTCGTCTTATTGACTTTATTGGGACTTCCTCTGGAATATTCATTCTGTTATTCAGCGTGAGTAAGGGTGCTAGAATCCTGTGACTAGTTGGTGGCACCAGTCTAGTGGCTAAGCATGTTGAAAAAGCTGGAGAGAGGATGATGAGGAGTGGAAGGATTGAATTTGTTGTCATTGCTTCAAGACTTCACCCTTTCCAAGAAAAACAGTCTGCAGCTTGAATATTTATCTTTGTTAGAAAGGTGTACGTGTGTGCAAATGATGTGCGGATTTTTATGGGAGGGTTTGGAAGTGTGTACATGAGTGAAGTGTGAATCACACATAAATATCTCGGTGTCAACAGATAGGTGAATTCTCTCAGTCGTGTGCGCGCGCGCCGATGTGTCTGCCTATCTGTCTAAAATCCACATAGCCACATGTAGGTGCATGTGCTTCAGAAGAGAGGGAAAGAGATCTGCGCAAGAATGTGCGTTTGTAAATATTTTTGTGTTGAGCAAGCTCTCAGTGGAACAAAACCAGATGTTTTTATGAGTCCTCAGCTCTTATCTGTTTTCTCGTGCTTTTTTTAGGATTTTATTTTATTTGGGGAAAGGGAAAGTTGCAGCAATGCCCTTGGAGGTGCGAGGAGAAAGCTATTTTTAAGGAGGAATATGGTTTAGAACATCAACAAGTAGGAGGGGATAAAAATAGTCCTGTTTTGTGGCAAAGGAAGAGATTACTCCCTTGTGGGGAGGACAGAGCACCCCTCCTCCTTTGAGGAGACTTCCTGTCGCTATTGTTCACCGCTGGGTCCGTACGCAGCACGTGCCCTTTCTTTTTCCAGAGAATTTGCAGGGAGGAAGCAGCAGGTTAAGTTGAAGTGATGTCTTAAGAACCGTCCCACCTGGGTGCACGGTTCTCATTGCAGAAAGACTGGCACGGGGCAAGTTGATTGCCGGGCTGTGGTTTTCCTGCCAAGAGCTGGAAAAAAACTGGAAATTTACACCCTTTGCAGCCTATAGGGCAGCTGCTGCTCTACATTCAGACACCTTTAAGGCCAGATCCTCAGCTGGCGTATGTCAGAGTAGTTCATAGAATCATAGAATCTCAGGGTTGGAAGGGACCTCAGGAGGTCATCTAGTCCAACCCCCTGCTCAAAGCAGGACCAATATCCAATTTTTGCCCCATATCCCTAAATGGCCCCCTCAAGGATTGAACTCACAACCCTGGGTTTAGCAGGCCAAAGCTCAAACCACTGAGCTATCCCTCCCCCCAAAAACAACTGTCACACAGAATGGCCCCCTCAAGGATTGAACTCAAAACCCTGGGTTTAGCAGGCCAATGCTCAACCCACTAAGCTATCCCTCCCTCAATCTAACTTCCTGGCATCAGTGGAGTTAGGCCGGTTGGCACCAGCTAAGGATCTTGGCCTTAAATCTTCCCAGAGGATAAGCCTAAATTTCCAGTCGCAAGCTGTTACAAACCCTGTCTGAGTGCTGTCCTGCGGTGTATGCAGTACACAGAGCACCCACAGGGAATGTCATTTAGTGTGCTTAAAAAGGCACAGGAGTAACTTTCAGAAGTGGGCTCATTTGTGATGGGCTAATTATCTCTGCCTTTGTGTCAGACCTGGTGTAATTGTTCATCTGTGCTAGAGATCACGCTCCCTCCTGTGCTTTGTCAGTGAGTACAAGATTGTGCATCCCCCTTAAAGGAAACGGCCTGGCTCTGTTTTGTGATCTAATGCAGATTAGCACATCAGAGCTGGAACAAGTGGAGGCAGCCTGGCTTTAAAGCCTCACTGTCCAGCTTTATTGCAGTGCTACACGCGTGCCCTTTCTTTCCCCTCTGCATTTGCACTCTTGACAAGCTGTTCGTTTGTCTAAGGTGGAAATGGCGCAGACAATAATATTGCCAGGCTGGGGAATGGCTGAACTGCACCTGTAGTGAAGAAGATCCAGTCCTGTTGGGTGGCTGCTGAGAGGTAATCTATAATTCACAAGGCCTTGCTGCTTCATGCAGATGGTGATATTGAAGCATGACTGATGCCAGCAGCGCAAAATCTCAGAGGCATTTCCTCCCCCCTCCCGCCCCCCCGTCTTATTCTTTCCTCCTGGTTTGCTGTGGCTCTTAAATTAAAACCTTCCCAAGGCTAAGTGCTCCTGGTGCTGAGGAATTTCAGCCTTTACTCACAAACATCCCACATTTTCAGTGGCGGGTGGTACACTTCCCAAATATGGCTTCAGTGACAATTGAGGTCACTCAGTCCCTTAACAAGAGTGGACTTGGGCTGGTTTATAGCTTGGGAATGAGTGGATACACACATGCACTTGCTTCCACTGTGTCTATTTCATTGTTCTAGTCTGGGCTGGGTGTGGTAGGGAGGAGGAAGCCTGTCTTTGAACCAGGGGTCAGGCTACAGGAGTGACTTAACTCTTTGTTGTCTGAATAGTGTCCGCATCTGGGAAGGTGACACAAGCACTTTCCGTAGCCACTTGATGCTGTTTCATAGCTTATAGCTATTTAGGTCAGAAGGGACCATTATGATCATCTAGTCTGACCTCCTGCACAACGCAGGCCACAGAATTTCACCCACCACTCCTGCGAAAAGCTTCTCACCTATGTCTGCTCTATTGAAGTCCTCAAATCGTGGTTTAAAGACTTCAAGGAGCAGAGAATCCTCCAACAAGTGACCCGTGCCCCATGCTACAGAGGAAGGCGAAAAACCTCCAGGGCCTCTTCCAATCTGCCCTGGAGGAAAATTCCTTCCCGACCCCAAATATGGCGATCAGCTAAACCCTGAGCATATGGGCAAGATTCATCAGCCAGATACCCAGGAAACAATTCTCTGTAGTAACTCAGATCCCACCCCATTTAACATCCCATCACAGGCCATTGGGCCTATTTACCATGAATATTTAAAGATCAATTAATTGCCAAAATCATGTTATCCCATCATACCATCTCCTCCATAAACTTACCGAGTTTAATCTTAAAGCCAGATAGATCTTTTGCCCCCACTGCTTCCCTTGGAAGGCTATTCCAAAACTTCACTCCTCTGATGGTTAGAAACCTTCGTCTAATTTCAAGTCTAAACTTCCCAATGACCAGTTTATATCCATTTGTTCTTGTGTCCACATTAGTACTGAGCTTAAATAATTCCTCTCCCTCTCTGGTATTTATCCCTCTGATATATTTAGAGAGAGCAATCATATCTCTCCTCAACCGTCTTTTAGTTAGGCTAAACAAGCCAAGCTCCTTGAGTCTCCTTTCATAAGACAAGTTTTCCATTCCTCGGATCATCCTAGTAGCCCTTCTCTGTACCTGTTCCAATTTGAATTCATCCTTCTTAAACATGGGAGACCTGTTGGCTTAGCATCATCTGGTTGGCAGCCCCCATTGGATTGCTGTGGAGCAGCACCATCGCCTGAATGGAGCCAGCTGTGACACGCAGTGGTGGCAGGGATGGCTGCTCTGTTGGGATTGGGGGAATCAAGGAACGTAAAATATAGATGCCTATTGGAGAAAGAGACCTTGTTCGGAATCTTAGTATGTTATCAATTGACTCTATGATGCAGATTTTCCTCCCAGCGAGTAATGAAATAATAAATCAGATTTGTGGTGTTCATAAGATTAAATGTTTTTTTGAAGATGAAATCGCCCTCTAGGGCCTGTTATAACCCAAAGCTGAAAGTGCTTCCTTTGCTCAACGTGTAATTGTTACCAGGCCATTTCTGGGCCACAAAACCACCATTGTTGATTCTCAGAGTCTGTAATTCTAACTGCTCTGCTGGCTTGAAGTGTTTCAAGAGGAGAGAGACAAAACTGAGAGGAGAGGTACTTAGAAGAGGGGCAGGAAGAAGGGAGTGGAAAGACTGTCTTGTGGTTTAAAGCACGGGACAGGGAACCAGGCAAGTGGGGATCTGTTCCTGGCTCTGTCACATACTTTCTGTATGAACTTGGACAAGTCACTTAACCCTCTGTGCCTCAGTTTCCTTACCTGCAACATGAGGATGATGCTACTTCCCTAAGTTGCAGGGATATATTGTGCATTTTCATCCAGGAATGTTTGTACAGGACCTTTGTGGTTTCTATGGAAGAGTGCCATAGAAAGCTTGTAAAAGAGCCAGTACAGGAGAGAAAATAAAGGCAGCTCCAAATGATCTGATATCTCACTGCCTCTTCTTTAATACATCTGTAATTGCATAGGCAGGAGCGTTTATGGCCTTTTCTGGTCTGCCTAAAATGTGATATGTGTGTGTGTAGAAGGGAGCGGGGGATTGCGGTATATAATAATCACCTTCACTGTAAGCATCCAGTGATTAGCTTGATAGTTGTAGACCGCGCTGTCATAAAGGCCCGTTAAACATTCTTTATCAGACAACCAAAGGCATAAATGTTAATGTTTTGAAGTTCATAAGCCAGTTTCAGCCACTTGTTCTCTTGGTTATTTTTGCAGTTCAGTCGTGCGGGGGTCGTTTGAATTCAAAGGATGCTGGTTACATCACTTCACCTGGATACCCACAGGACTACCCTTCCCACCAGAACTGCGAGTGGCTCATTTACGCCCCGGAAGCAAATCAGAAGATTATCCTCAACTTCAACCCTCATTTTGAAATTGAGAAACATGACTGCAAGTAAGAGCCTTCCTCTTCTTCTTTACGAGATAATCTGCTCCTCCTCCTCTTCCACTCTTAACTAGAAAGGCGAGGACCAAGCACTCCCAGAAACAGGAAACTGGGTGGTGGCCCCAGTCTCCAGAGCATCCCTCGCTATGTCACCCTCCTTCAGAGTCTGGCTTACCTTGTAGCAGGCTGTCGTGTGACTACATCGCACTCAGAGGGAAAGGGTCTGAATCCCAGCCTCGGGTAGTGATCCTTGGCACGTAGGAGGTGTTGGTTCTGTTCCCTGCACTGGTGCTGATTCTGCTACACTTGGTGAATTCTGATTTTGAAGGGGAGACCAGGAAGCGGGTTACCCAGGAAAATCAATTAGCAGCTAGTAAATAATTAACAGCATCAATAGGCACCATTAAAGGCTGAATTAATGATGTGGTCTCTGTGGATTTATAATCCAGTATGTACCCTCCGGAGTCTGTGACCAACTATTGGGATGTCTGAAATGTGGAAAAGTTTAGAGTCTCCTAAAATGGGGCTGATTCTGCAGTCTTTCCACACACAGTGTTCCCTTTGATTTATGATAGCATCCACATATCAGACTCTAGGATCAGGCCCACTGACACAAAACAATCAGCACAATCTTAGGTGAATTTTTTGAAGATTGAAAATTATGGTGCCAGATCCTCAGCAGGTGTAAATCAGCATAGCTTCATTGGTTTCAATGGAAGCACATTGCTTTACACAGTTGAGGATGTGGCCCATTCTAATCACATAGGCCCTGATCCAACCAGTGCTGAAGTCAGTGAGTGTTGAAGGAGTTCAGTACTTTGCAGGATCAGTGCCATGTACCGTAGCAGGCAGGGGGAAGCAGGAACTCTGACCATGGACATAAATGAACACAGGTGATCTAAGCAAAATAGTGAGGGACGTGATCATGGTTTTATTGTTGTGCGTTTCAGCAGAGCTGCATAACTTACTGGTGGCTAAATGCAGTCACTCAAAACCCATGGTAATAAAAATGTTACAGTTCCACTGGACTGTGACCCAGGAGACTCGGATTCTATTTCTGCCTCAGCAACTGGCCTATTGGGTGACCTTGGGCAAGTCATTTCCCCTCTCTGGGTGACAGTTTGCCCTTTTGTAAAATGGGTACTGATCTCCCTTGCAAAGCACTTTGAGATCTACTGATGAAAACCCTATTAAGAGCTTGGTAATATTAGCTTTTAGTATATAGAGGGGAGTGTGATATGGCAGTAGGAGTTAAGAGTCCTGGTCCTGACACTGACTCGTTCTGTTGCCTTAGCCAAGTCAGGGCCAGCATTTCTAAAGTGCTTAACACCCACAGGCAGCCCCAGCTTTCAGAAGAACTGAGCATGTTGGAAGCTGAATGCTTTTGGAGATCTGGCCCTTTAGCAGTATATGTGGGAGCTGAGTTCTTTTTGAAAAGCTGTCCCCAGCTGCAGGTGTTAAGCACTTGAAAATCTGACCCTGAAACTGTTGCCCCACATTTTGCCTGTTTTCCCATCTATAAAATGGGGATAAGAATGCAGTTGTGGCAAGCGCCACCAGCTGTCACTATTACAGCTAGTTTTCCAAGTTCTTTTTCTTAGTGTGTGAGCAATTTTGTAGTCTTAGAAGAAAGGTTGGTGTTGGTACTTTTGGTTGCATAAGGCTCTAGGTGGAGGGAGCTCTGAGCAGCACGAGAATTCGCTGTCTGCAGTGGTCTCTAGTTAGAAACAATTCTTGAGGCAGAGTTGCTCCCTAGGAACTAGGTATCAGTGCTGGGCTGAGAGTGCTGAAGTTGGGGATTGCCTGCATCTCTGTTTTAGGACTGGTGCATGTGTGTAAATAATGTAAATTACACTTTTGGAATATATCCACGCCACTGATTCCTCCTCCTCCTTCTCTGAGCTGCAAGGGCCTGGATGCCTGCTCCTGCTCCACAGGAGTGCAAGGCTGGTGTCAGAATGGGCACTAAATACGTGTTAATTCCTGGGTAAGGCTCAGTCAGTGAGCTTTCTGAGATCACTGCAAAGAAGTTTCTCCCACAGTGCTGATTATTTTAATTGTTTTCTCTTTTGCCCCCTTTTTTTTTTTTTTTTGGAGGCAACATCTGTTCAGTCCCATATTTCTTTTTCTTTTTTTAAGCTGTGTCCAGCCACATTAGGAAGTAACTGGGCCTTCTCCCTCCCCCATCATGAAAGGAATAATTTGGTGTAATTGAAGCCCTCGAAGGCCTTTCTCTTTCTCTGCTTCATCCCTGCTCCAAAGAAGCTCCTTAGTTTGGAAAGCACTTCAAAACAAGGAAAATTGGCCGTCTTCTGTTATTTTCTTCTCCTGTGTGTTAGTCACAGCCAGGATCTTAATGCTTGTGGGGTGGGCGCTTTCTAAAATAAAGCCTGGGAAAAACAGGCCATTGTCTGTGCTGCCCTTCTGACGCAATAATGCAGCAGTAAAGCCGGGAGCAAAAGGAGAAAGAGAAAGAGAGAAGCTCTGGTTAAGACCGGCCAAACTATTCGGAAATAATTGTAATAGCCCGTCTGCTCCCCATTTCTTCCTCTCAGCACTGCGAGTGCAGCTGCCGTTTTCCTCCTGTTTCAGTCCCATGCAGTGGGATTGGGTATCTGCTATCTGAACCGGGAAGCGGTGTCCAGTTTGAAAAGAGCAGGCTGCTTTGGTGAAAGGTTGCCATTCTGTCACATTGCATTGCGTGCACATGCCAAGTTTTATTTTTGATCTCAGGAGAGACTTGAACCAGCCTCCTGTAGATGAGAAATGAAGATTATTCCCAGTCACGTGGCTGTTCTACCCAATCCTTCGTAATTGCCATTTCTCTGTTCAGTCTGTGCTGTTTGCTTGGAAAATCCAACTCAGAAGCTTCAGTGTTGCGTGAATCACTGCATTCTATAGCCACCTTTTCCAGTCACGAGTCCCTTCCCCAGCTACGTTTCTCTCTGGACTGTTAAAAGCCCCTTCCAGAGATTCTCTCCTGAAATCTACCATCAGCTGCTCTGCTGAACTAATGGTGCTGAAGGATTAGACTGGGCAGAGCTGCCTTTGAATTCCAAGTCTTTTCTGTATAAACAGGGTGGAAGCAGACTCATTTCACATCCTAGTGGAACAGTCTTGCTCCCAAGACAGACAAAAGAACCTCTCATTTGAGTCATGATGGCTTAACCAGGAAAGCATTATCTAAAAATATACATACATAAAAAACAGCCTGGCGTGTTTTTTCTGTCGACTTTTTCTGAACATGAAATGCAGTTGAATTATGAATAACCCAGTGGACATGCTGTCTCTGACTGTGATGATTTCACATACAGTATTGGCTTCAACAAGAGTACTTGTAGCCCCCTCTGGTGGTATCATGACAAACAAGACAAGAGAGTTTGGTCCTTGTGAGAGAGGTGGCTGTTCAGAGAGCTGGCAGAATGAAAACCAAAGATGAGCCTGAGCCACCGAGTTTGGACCTTCCCCAGAATTTGGATCCAAAGGAGTGGCCTCATCTCAAATGAAAACTGGTTTTAGAAGAAGGGTACGGTAGAAAGTACTATGGGGAATTCATGCACATTTACCCTGATATGAGAACAGAACTTAAAGGGACAGTGCTCCCAGTCTGGAGCTGACTTGCCCATAATTTAACTCACCTTACACGTCTCATATTTTGTTTTAAAGCTGCTCTGCTGGTCTTGGAAAATATCAGTTTCCCCAAAGGAGGGTAAGCAGCATTGACTGATTGCCAAATTCTCTGCTGCTGATTAATTATTTGTGTTACAGTAGCACCTAGTGTTCCCAACCAAGATCGGGACACGATTGTGCTAGACTGTGCCAACACAGAAGGGGAAACAGTCCCACCCCCAAAGAGTGGATGCTGTAAATAGACAAGACACACAAAGGGTGGGAGGGGAAAGAGGGGTGAAGTGTCTTGCCCAGGGTCATATAGTTCGTCAGTCAGGGAGCCAAGAGTACAACCCAGGGCTCACGACTCCTAGATCAACCAAAACACATCTCCCTTGCTACTAGACACTAGGGATAACAACCATGCTGCCGTGTGTTCCATTGAAGCCATGGGTGTTATGATGTGGGATGGGATCCCATTAGACACATCAAGCCAGAGTCTAGTTAGCCTGCAAGGTCTTGTTGTGGTTGCATGAGCCTCTCTCAAGCTGGGCACTGAAATAAGCAAACACAAATATTCTGCTTTCTTAGCAAGTAGTCTGAGTCCTGTAGATTTTAATATCCTGCATACTAACAAGAAGAGAGCAGGGCAGAGAGTCAATGCAAAGTGGGTGTAAGTGCCCACATACCAAACCACAGCTGGCAACTATAATTTTAGGCTCAGCACCCTCGACCAGATCCCTTCACACAAGAACATAACACTGCAGGAAGGCTTCCTTCCATCAGCAGGGGTTAAAGAGCAGACAAGACAGCAATTATAGGTGACTAATTAGTAAATGTTTTGAAAAATAAGCAAAATTATCTCATTAGTAAACATTTTAGAAACAATGCCATTTCTTTCTGAATTGGGAAAATCCTAGAAAATAGAAATATATGAATAATGTTAGAGAGAGATGTGTTTTGAGGGGACGTAGTAAGCGACCACACTGGATCTTCTGTGAATGAAACAATGAGAAGGGTTCAACTTTAACCATGAAGGGAAGGGAAATCATAGAGGAAACATTCGTGAAGGCATTTGGTTGCTTGTAGGTTTATGGGCTGGACAGGCAGAAACAGTGTTTTGAGCTGGAGCTGTTCAGACATCAGCACTGTCTGCAATGGAATCTGTGGTTAAACTGGGGCATACTGTAACCTAACTCTGTCACCATCCCAATCCCCAGTCATAATCCTTGGATAGGTGGGTGCATTTGCCAGAACAATCAACAGCAAATGAGTCAACCATGTTGACATCTAAACATTCCATTAGTCTTCAGAGTTAACACCCACTGAATTGAATGGAACCTGACCTTTGAGTTATTGTGGCCTGTTGACTGTCTACAGAAGCATGCAGCCAGCTCTGA